ATGGCGCGAACAACTATATAAGGTCGTTTAAGCGAGCAAGACATTTTCAATTGGCAGGAAATTTTGAATTTTGCCCAGGTGGCGGCCAAAGCCTACTTTTATTGATTTTGGATCTCCAGGGGATCTTTGACATGCGCAACTTGCACACAGGACCTCCAAGATTTTTGGTCCTTGTCGGAGAAGGCTAGGTGTAGATCCTTCCTACCAGAAGATCAGGGGTGTGGCTGAAATATGGCAGTAAGAAGGAGCCGAGGAATAGCAGTAGAAAGGCTGTAGAAAGAGTCAGGAGCCCTGAGGAGGGTGCAAAGGAGGTGAGGGAGTGGGGGCAGAAAGTGGAAATGAAAGCAGATGACAGAACATTGTTACTATTGTTAGAGAGCAGGAAAGGAGGTGAAGGCTGAACATTTTAGAGAAGAAAATTTTCAGTCCCTATCCGTATTCGACGGGAAACATGGAGGAGATGCGTGGAAAGGGACATGAGAGAAATGAAGCTCGCTTGGAAGGATGGCTCAGGACAGATAAATGGAAGGAGCTTGTATGTGGCCTATACCCTGCCAGGGGTGAAAGGCATTGATGATCCGTATTCGAACCCGGGACCTATTGAATGAGAGGCAAACACCTTAACCTCGAGACCAAGAGTGCCCCATAAAATCTTTTACAATTTACAATGATACTGATACCATCAGAGCCTTTAACAAACCTCTCGTGTTTTGTTTTGAATGAAATGTAAAGATGGGATTGATCCTTTCAAAAATTGCCCAGTTCTAGTTTATTTTGTTCTCATGAGAGAGCTCTGATTTGTTGACAGATTTTATTGGAGTTCTGTAAGGCAGCAGTTATTAATTCTTTTCAAATTAAAAGGAAAGAAAATTGCTTTACTAATAAATTATCTTAATTACCCGCAGATGTCCAGCTGCCCAGGAATCTCTGCCTTCCCAAGTGACACCAACATCTTCAAATGGACTGGCACCATTGAAGGAGGACAGGGAACTGTGAGTTTTCTGTGTTTGTCTTTTCGTCCTTTACCTTTTTTAATCTTCACAGTCAGTGTTGTTTTAAATTCATGTGTATCGAACAGTTGCTTGGTTGGCATACGGGTGCTCTCTGCTCCTTCTTTTTCAGTGTTGCTATATAATATATATATGTGTGAAATCTGGCTGTCTGCTTTCTCATGGTGAGGGGATTGAGGGGGGGGGTCCTCTTTTGAGTGGTAAGAAGCAAAAATCAGCGGTCTTTAGGTTGTTGGTCACAAGAATACAATGTCTCCTTGAACAAGACATGACTGATAACCCTTTTTCAGAGACAGGGCGGTGTGCAATGATGACCAGCAATGGTGTGTGTCTACCATTGTGATACTGTGCATTATTTTATTTTACCAAATGTCCCAATGGGGATCAATGATAAAAGTTGAATTTTATTTGTTTTTATTTTATATATATATACATTTTTTCTTAAAGCCTTATGTTAACTCCCTGTTTACCTCAACTTGGTATCTTCTGGCTCTACTTCAATTTCTTTTTCCCACAGGTGTACGAAGGGCTGAAGTATCAGCTCTCCCTGTCCTTCCCCCCTCAGTATCCCTTGCAACCAGTTCTGGTAAAGTTTGAAACGCCATGCTTCCACCCCAATGTAGACAGCTATGGAAACATCTGTCTCGACATCCTCAAGGACAAGTGGTCAGCGTTGTATGATGTTCGAACAGTCCTTTTGTCCATTCAAAGTTTGCTTGGTGGTAAGAGCGTCATTGTCAAGTGCCATTATATCTGAAACAGACTTCAGAATTCTTGGTTCACCACTCAATTCTCTGCTCAGATCCTCCCCCCCAAAAACATGGTTTTGGGGAGGGGTGTTCTATGACCCATCCGTAAGAGATAGCAGTAAGATAGCCTGATTAATTAGCCAAAGTTGGTATGATTTTGTTCTATGATTAACAGTTTTGTTTAATTCCTTTCAAACTCTTTGTCAAATTAGCATATTGTGCATGAATTTTAACAAAAGAATTGGAGATGGGGAAATCAATCATTTTTGGTGTTGTAGTCATGGGTTGAAGTCCATACAGCTGCCTTAAGGGTAGCGAACCAAGAATTGTTCTTTTTCTAATAAAAAGCACATTTATGAAAGATCCAGTTGTTTAAACTTGTCTCAGCTCAATTTGTTCAGTTTAAATAACTTTGTTACATGCCGTTTTTACATCATCAATCAAAGTGAACTTTTGACACTGCAGTACTTTCCATTCATTGGGCCACTTTTCGATCAAAATATTAAAATCTGATCAACTTGGAGTTACAAAGCTTGGTTTAAGTGTTAAGCAGCTATATAATGTAGAACGCCACCCTGTGCCTATATCTGTAGTGTTGGTTGTTATACTCTTAATTTTCAGCAAAAGTTAAGGCTAGTGATCCTCACAAACTTTAAAAAATCCATGTCTGGCGATGCCTTATTAGTGAGCCCCTTTTTCTACTGGTTGATTAGACTCACTGCAGTTAATCTTATTCTATCCTTTAGATATTTGAAGGAACTTGACAACAATCGAAAATAGAAACAGTACAATGTCGTTAACTCTTTGCACCCCCTTTTCATTCCCCAGAACCCAACAATGAAAGTCCACTAAATTGCCAAGCTGCCACCCTGTGGAAGGATCAGACCTTGTACAGAAAGGTAAGTCTTGTTTTCTGAATGTCTAAGTGCTCTGTAGGTCTTTTAGTGGTGTGTGAGCATATTTTTTTTTACTCAAACATTTTCTTCTGTATCCTTTTACATTGTCAGTGAATGTCAGCGCTGTACATCACAATTAATTGCTATTTCTTAAATTCCTCTTCAGGGGCTCTCGTGGCCTAGAGGTTAAGATGTTCGCTTCTCGTTCAATAGGTCCTGCATTCTAATCAGGATTGCGACGGAAATGTTCCTTCTCTAAAAAAAAGTGTCTCCTTTCACCTCCTTTCCTGCTCTCTAGCAATTTTCTCTCATCTGCTTTCATCTCCACTTTCTCCTTCTCGCCTCCTTTGCCCCATCCTCTTGTCTCCTGACTCTTTCTGCAGCCTTTCTACTGGCACTCTTCGGCTCCTTAGTGCTGTCTCCCATCCACACTCCTGATCTTATGGAAGGAAAGGTCTACACCTAGTCTTCTTGGAGAAGGGCGAAAAATCTCGGAGGTCCTGTGTGCAAGTCGCACACATTAACTCACTGACTACTGGCCCCTTTCACCGGTCACTAGCACTGAGTACTGGCATTTTGGGGGGTATTTCAAAACACCACCACAACTTTCAGAATTACCCTATTGTTATTATTTTTGGACAAGGTAAAGATACTTTCAAACCTAATGTACTGCAAAAAATGTAAGTTGTCTAGGTCTAATGCTTTAATTTTTATGATTTTTTCAAAATAGGCATGAATTTAATTTTTAGGAAAATTTTCAGAGAAGTGACAGATAGAATGAAATTCACAACGACCACAAAAATATACCCAAAAATAAAAGTTCAAAGTGTTCTGTTTTGATTTGTATCCATGTGTGAGTGTTTGGTGAAAATATAAATACATGAGACAGATATGGGGAACGAAGTTGTGATTTCATCGCATGAACAACAACACCTGTACTAGTGCTAGATCTAGCCCTAAAACTATGACTCGGGCCGTGTTCAGGTACATATCCAGGGTCCTAACTATCAGACACATCATATCCTGAGTCACAAGAACTAGCAAAACGAACAGAAGTATCGAAAACAGCTAAATTATTTGATTCTTGTTCAAGCGACCGTTACTTAGATGCGACTGTCGGATTACTATCAGCTGTATAGAAAAAACATAGCGCGAGTTCCGGTCAGGTCAACGCCTGATGTGACTGTCCTTCTTCAATTACTTAAAAAGTTACCACGAAACTTACGCCAAACTCGGCACGAATCGAAACAAGCGGCAACACTAACACAGGAGTCTGTTCCCGTACATGTGACGGGGGCACAAGATACAGAACAAAACCGCAAAGTCCGCCCCGTACCTGTGACGGGAACCATAGTCAGTGAGTTAAAGATCCCTTGATGGTCTAAAATCGATAAGAGTAGGCTTCGGCAGCCACCTGGGCAAAATTCAAAAATTTCCTACCAACTGAAAATGTTTAGTGTGTCCGCACGCTCATATGACCTAATGTAGTTGCCAAAGCCTACTCTTATAATCAATTTTAGACCACCAAGGGATCTTTAACGTGCGTAACTTATACACGGGCCCTCCAAGATTTTTCACCCTTTTCCGAGAAGGCCAGGTGTAGATCTTTCCTACCAGAAGATCAGGGGTGTGGCTGAAAGACAGCAGTGAGAAGGAGCCAAGGAAGGAAAAGCTGTAGAAAGGCTGCTGAAAGAGTTAGGAGCCCAGAGGAGGGGGTGGGGGCAGAATGTGGAGACGAAAGCTGACGACAGACTATTGCCCGAGAGCTGGAAAGGATGTGAAAGGAGACAATTTTAGAGAAGAAAATGTTTCGGTCGCTACCCAGATTCGAACCCGGGACCTTTGAATGAGAGGCGAACACCTTAACCTCTAGGCCACAAGAGCTCCTGGGATGTTTGTAAGAGGAGCTTTTATGTTGGGTCTTAATCTTAAAGATGTGTTTTGTATGATATGTCTATTGTTGATGTTATTCCCTACCAAAAACTGTTCACCCCCTGGGGCAGTGCCACTGACTGAAGTGTCTTTAGGCCATTCCCAAAGGTGGGACATTTCTTGTTATAATGCACAGTAGAATTGTAAATGGGATGATCCAACAATGTCATGCTCTTAACTGTGCTTGAACTGCTACAAGGAACTGCTGCTTTTTCTTCCCAAATCCTTACTATCGTCATTTACCTCTACTTCTTTTTTTATGTTTGTCACACTCTTGTGACCTGCTATTTCCGGGTTGTCTTGATAGTCAAAGCAGACTTTGTGCTGTTGAAGCTAGAAAGGTGAGCAGAGGAAGTCTGATTCCCGGTAAGGAGTTCTCTGTTGACATCCACCCCTTGGCACCCATATGACCTTATGCAGTTGTGAGCGCCGTAAAATCTCAACTAAAACAAAAAAATTGTTCTCCTGTCGTTGAATGTTACTTTAGGTTTTGTTCATTTAATGTCACTGGATGCACTTTCATGAGACTGTAAGAGTAACACCTAGCTTCACTCAACATCTTAAATACAATACTGAGAGTTTTTTCACAAAATTATGTCTTGTCTTGTCCTTATTTGTAAACAGTTTGCAACTCTTAACTGCTCCCTACGTTTGAATTTGAAAGTCATAATCAATTATTTGAAATCAATTATTTTCTTGAGAGGTGCACTGATTTTCTTTTCATCTTCAGGTGCTTCTAGAACATTACCGTCAGAACGTCCAAGATCAGAACAAGGGACCCTCTGGTCAGATGCAAAAGCACTCATGAAGGGCCTCGGCAAACAGCTGGTAAATATCCTGTTCCTTCACAACTGTATTTAGCTCATCGCCAAATACTGAACAGGATACGGACTGCACAGTAATTTTTATAAATTTTTAAAAACACTTTTATTGTCAATACAAAATTTTTATTTTCACAGTTTGACTGTGTGGAAATGTAAGAGTGCCTAACTGTAACAGTGTCTTTGAATGAATTGATGAGATTGCATTTTGTGAATCTGCAAAGTGCTCTGAAATCAGAAGCGAAACTGCCTGCTTTTATTTTTACACCAGTTTGTGTTCAGCATACCATTTACTACTGAATTTTTAGTCGAACATTTTTGTTTCAGATGCGTTATTTTGAGAGTTTTAGTACTGTGACCATGTACATGATTTTTTAAAACTTCTACGTTCATACCACACTGTTTAAAATTGCAGATATCTATTGCATTTTTTTTTAAAATTTGCAAGTCTTTCATTCGCAAATCGATAAGTAGTTTAGTATCTCCCAGGGAATTCAATGCTATAGAGAACCAATAGTCTAACCATTCTCTTACATCCTGCTGCACTATCTCAGTGTCTGACACGTCCCTATGAGGCTGGTTTAGTCTCATTTGCAACTTGAGAAGCATAATATTACTATGGTTTGAAGCATTTAATGTCTCTGGTACGGTTGTGTCTTTCTTTGCTTTTGGTAAAGAAAAATGTATGTAACGGAAATTTGGGGAATCAATGTAATGATTTGTAATCTGACTGATGTCCTACTTCAGACACCATCTCGTCTTTCTCAACTTCTGAACCAGTGCATCTCAATACCAGTATCTATGATTAAATGCCCTTACATCCCAATGAATATATTCATATATCTGTCTACTTTATTGTCAAAACTTTCCTTCTGTCCTCTGTGATCTTTGTATAATACCTGAATTTTTTTTGCTGTACAATGCCTGCTTTATAGATTCGTTCTATTTTGTGGTGTGTACCATACTGGAGATTTTCTCTGTGCATAACGCTCTGTTCATCCTGTCTATCTTTCCTTATAGAACGAATACCTGCATGTGTCAGTTTTACATCTCTAATGCCCTGTACAGATTGAAGTGTACAAATGTACATTGTTCTATAATGCATTTGTCAAATGATTTATGTACATCAGGTTCCTTTTCTCATTTGTGCTGTTTTTGTCTCTGTTGTCCACCCCACTCTTGGCTTATCATGGGTTTGTCCTGTTGTCTCTCTGTTGTTTGTTGAATTTCCTTGTTCCTGTTCCGGCTGTAGGTTTTTGTGTCAAGTTTCCAAATGCCTGACATAACATTGAACCATAATTCTCCATCTACACTTTTGTGTTCAAATTGTCTTTGAGTCTTTGCTCTTCTTGTCTATCAGCTCCATTTCCCTTCTTCTGAAACTGCCCATGTCTATGATTCTCTCCTTTTCTGACTACCTCAAACTTTCTTTATTCTTCATTTTATAGAATTTTTAGAATCTGTTTTTAATCTGTCTTCCAATCCATTGTGTACTTGAATACTCGTTCATTTTGTACAAGTAATCTCCTCTGTCAGCACCACATTGATGCATTCTCTCATTCATTTATCACTCTGTATTGAAATTGCACTTCTGAATTTATGTCGACGTTTAAAGTAAAAGCTAAATACATTTCTAGTAAGTGTGTTTTGCCTTTCTCTTGTGACATAGTGGAAAATTTGGAAATTATTTACTCTCCTTTTGGGATTTTGGTCATGGCTGAGCCGATGATCTTCTCTTCCTTCTTTAATTTTAAAGCTTTATAGGGTTCGTTATTACTACGTTCCTGATACAGATGCTTAAGATTTTTTAAAGATTTGTTCCCACCATTGAACCTAGACCTGTTCCTTCTTTGAAGTGCCGCAAATAACAGAATCTCTTGTGTTCCATGGCACAACATACACTACAGGTGAGGCGATAAACTGCATAATTCGTCAATGGTTTGGCTCGTCACCAGAGAGCTTGTCTCACAATCCCAGTGTGTGGCACAATGTTAATGAGCTTCATAAGGTTCCTAACCAAACCAAAGCTGAATGATATATAATGTATATAATACACAAGTAACTGTAACATACTTTAACAAGACACTAGTGATTTCCATCATCCAGCTCTTCTCAGCAAGCGATTTCTGTCTCCTTCCTTTCCCCCTGCCTGTCTCTCCTATTCTTTCTCTCTTTCTTTCTTTCTCTCTCCTCCC